GTGCTCTACCACTTGAGCTACAGCGCCACTTCCGGTTTTCTGGTGGTTTATTGGAGATAGGAGTCTCACGGTCTCTCCTGCCCGGGCTGGCTTTGAACCGGGATTCTCAGATCTCAGCCTCCTGAGTAACTAGGATTACAGGCGTGAGCCACCAGCGCCCAGCGGGGAGAAAATCATTTTAAGTCAGATAATTAAATCTCAATAAAAATCAGTGATAACAATCTAGCTCATTATTGTTTCAGAATTCTAGAAGTCAGAAGACTGAATCACACAAAACCTTTTGCCCCTCAAGTTCCACAAGGTTAGCATGGGGGAAGAATCAGATGGATGCTGCAAACGAAGAGTGTCTAAATCACAGCTTCTGTGAACAACTGTTTGTAACCTTCCAAGGGTGTTATATAAACATTCCTAGAGAGTCCAGACAATCAGGGTTTATGTTTGGAAGATGTTACATATGTGAGCAATCTGTGAGGAAATGCTTCCCACATACATATGTATATATATTTACATATACACATGTACAAAAAAATAAGGTAGTGCTATAAACCCAGGAGGGAGAATGACTAAAATTAAGGAATGAAGTTAGAATATAGTTCAGAATGTAGTTGGAAACTTATAAAAGGTAGGAAGAAATGTGAAGAACTACAAGGCTGAATGCAGAACAAATATGAAGTTGGACTGTAAAGAATAAAGTATTGTCAGATCACTTTAGGGCTCTACTGAAGTTATGATGCGATTATAATTTCACAGCCATTATCATGTAGTAGTATCATGTAGTCAGTAGATTTTTGTTAGAAGTTCTGCTACAGCTGATGCTGTAAGCTCACGCTTACAGCAACAAATTTCCAAATAATTTTGTTTGTGGGGGAGAGAGGGATGGAGGAGATACCTGAGCTTGAACTCAGGGCCTTCCACATGCTATGCATGTAGTACTTGAGCCACACCTTCCTTTTTTACCTTTGATACCTACACAAAACAACCAACCCACTTTGAAAACTGTTTTAGAAGTTTCCTTTGTTGTTTATTTTTCTTCTAAAAAACATACTTAGACTGCTACTTTTTCTTTTTTGCTGATCCCCAGTTTGGAACTCCCAGCCTGGAGCTTTCTCAGCTTACTTGCTCAGCTGGTGTTCTACCAGTAGAGCTACACTCAGCCTCACTTTGGATTTTAAAAATCATTTAAGTAGTTGCACAACATAGATTCAACTCAACACGTGAATTTATTAATACAATGCACCTAAATCAGTGTTACCTCTTCCAGTTGATGGCTATTTTGGAAATTAGAGTCTTAAGGACTTTTCTGACCTCGCTGGCAGACCCGGGCCTCCAGAGTAGGGCTGTTAGGTATGAACCACCAACACCCAGTTTAGGTAGCTATTTCTGGAAGATTTAGTCCCTTACAGCTTTCAACTCATTCCCACACTTCTATACCCAAACGAAATACAGTTGTATCCATTAGGTCTTGGCTAAATATTCTATGGCAACATTACAACATTACAATTGTTAGAAACAATTCTATTCCCTTTACTTTCTTAAAATATCTGCCTAGTAGGTGGTGGTAGTAGTTTTTAATTTTCAAAGATGTTATAACATTCTGAAATTATCACCTTTCATAATCTATAAACACATGAGGCTTCACACTAACTACATTATTTTCTAAGAAACATTGCTTCTAGTACTGTTCTCTTTTTTCATTCTATTGTTTTCTGAAAGTTCTTTGCATTGCTTCCATGCTACACTGATTTTAAGTATCTTGGAGTCTACACTGTCCTCCTTGGTTTATATGATTGCTTTCTGAGAAAAGATGAATAAATCAGAGATCTTAATGTAGGAATGTGTCAGTATCTTACTTGAACAAGTAATATAGTAATTTGGTTCAGCATACAAATCTAAATGGAATCACTTTACTTTTCTTCAGAATCCAGAAGGTATTATTATACTACGTTCTAGCTTTGAATGTTAATTCCAAATTTCTTGAATTTGGTTTGCCTTTATACTGTAAAGATTTCAGGATTTCTTCTTAATTTTTGATAACCCCTCCACTTATTGCCCAGAAGTATTTGGGAAGGTTAGTTTCAATGTGGAAATAAAGTTGGACATACATTCCAGAAACATATTCTGGGAAACTTGTTTATTTAAGATCTTTTCATAGCCATGCCTATAATGCTAGTTATTCAGAAGGCTGATCTGAGAATTAAAGTTGGATGTCAACCTAGACAAAAAATCCTAAGAGACTCATCTCCAATTAGTCAGCATAAAGAAGGAAGCAGGGCAGGGGCTCAAGTGATAGAGTGCCAGCCTTGAACAAAAGAGTTAAGGGACAGTGTCCAGGCCCTAAATTCAAGCCCTAGTACTGGGGAGGAAGAGACCATTTTATCTATTCTCTCTCTGAAACTCCTAAACACTGATTCTCCTGGACTGATCCTGAGTTTCCCTACCTTTTCAGCCCTATTTTTCTCTGCTCAAGCAGAGTCTGTCAACCTTACCTTCTAGTTTTTATTCAAGGAAGTCATTTCTATCACACTTTTTATTTTATGATCTCAAAACCAGCTCATAAAATATTTTTAAAAATACTATTCAATTTGTTTTACAGAAGAATTGCATTCTCTCAGTCCTTCCAGGACAATTTAATCTTTGTTTCCTATTTTCTGTGAATTCCTTTTTTGTTTGATGCTGATTATCAATGTCCGTAGCTATAAAGTCTCTGCTCAACTTTTCACATTTAAAAGGGAGGCACTGAAAAACTCAAATAGATCATGCATGACTACCATGACTGCATTGTCCTCCAAATTTCAGGATCCCATGTTATAATGAAGAAGAAGCACTTTTGCGAAGTGACTAGGAATAAGTAAACAAATGGAATTAGATCCATTATAAAAAAGACCTGAAGGAGCTTGTTTGCCCCTGCACCACGTGAGAACACATTGAGACGTTAACAGTTGCAACCTGAAAAAGGATCTCACTATAACCTAATCATGCTAGCATCATGATCTCAGATCTCCCAACATCCAAATGTTGAGAAGTAAACTACCTAGTCCATGGTGTTTTAACTGCTCAGAAGGACTAAACAAATCAGCAGCTAAATTTACTTTTATATAATAGAACAGCGGCCATTTTACTACCATATCCCAGATGTCACTATCAATTTGGTTTTAACAATTTGGTTTTTACTATTAATAATATCATCAGTTTTAATCATATTACTGGAGAAGATATAAGATCATCAGCCAATAAACTGGAAATCAAAGGCTTTTAATGCTCAATGATAGACATCCAGTTTGTTTTCAGTACTATAACTCAAAAAATTTCAGTTATTTTACTTCTTGAAAAATCAGAAATCACTGGGTCAATTCTACCAGAAAATATACCTCCACTCTTTGGGATAGAGAGAGGTGATCAACTGGAAGCAGAGCTGTGGGTCAAGTGGTAGACTGCTATCTTTGAGCAAAATAGCCTGAGACAGCCCTCATGCCTTGAGTTCCCAGGACAGGGGGGAATAAAGCAACAGAATAAGCAAGGCCAGATGGTGGCCCACACCTATAATCTCAGTACTTAGGCAGAAAGAGCATTAGTTCCAGACTAGTCTAGGCTAAATAGAGAAACCCTATCTCAAATTAAAGTAAAAAAGCAGAAGAGACCCATACAGAAAGTGGAAACGGGTACAACATGTCAAAATGATGCTGACATGAATTGGATTCCTCAGGAAAACTTTGAATCAAATCAGTAAAGCTTCGCCAAGAAGGTGTAGGAAGTTGGCACAGAAGAGATCAGTAAACTCTGATGAGTAAATGCTACTTTGTACAAACAATCCAGTCTGTACTTACCCTGCCCTGATGAAAATTAGTGCAAAGAAGTCATACCACCATAGAAGGCAACTACTACTTATATGTGGACTGAGCAATCAGTCTGTGGCAATAATGTTGAAAATGCACTGCATTCATTATTCTCAAAGTAACAAATTTATTTTTAAAAAACCATTGAAATCAACGTGTGTGTATGAGAGTAGATGGGGTTATTACCACAATCATCGTTGAACTACCTGAAACCTGCCTTTAGAAAACTAAATATACTAAATCCAGCCAACAACAAATGCTGGCAGGGATGCAGAGAAAGAGGAACCCTATTGCATTGCTGGTGAGAATATACACTAATATAACCACTCTGGAAAGCAGTCTGAAGGTTCCTCAGAAAGTTAAACATAGACCCTAACATAGACCCTCCCTACAACCCAGCCATACCACTCCTAGACATCTACCCTGAACAACAGGAACCAGGATACAAGGACACCTGCACCTCCATGTTCATTGCTGCACTGTTCACAATAGCCAGGATATGGAATCAACCCAGATGCCCTACTACAGATGAATGGATCCAAAAATTGCTGTACCTATATACAATGGAATATTACGGAGCCATTAGAAAGGACAAAATAATGGCATGTGCAAAGAAATGGATGGAATTAGAACAAATCATGTTGAGTGAGGTAAGCCAAGATCAGAGTTTGACAAACAGCACATGATCTCCCTGATGTGGATGTTAAACTCTAAATGTAAGGATATATGACAAAGTTAACAGGACTTAAGAAACAAAGGCCCTCTTAATTTGTCATATCTTTTTTTTTTTTTTTGGTCAGTCGTGGGGCTTGAACTCTGGGCTTGGGTGTTATCCCTGCGCTCTTCAGCTCAAGGCAAGCGCTCTAGCTTGAGCCACAGCACCACTTCCGGTTTTCTAGTGGTTAATTGGAGATAAGAGTCTCACGGACTTTTCTGCCTGGGCTGGCTTTGAACCATGATCCTCAGATCTCAGCCTCCTCAGTAGCTAGGATTACAGGCGTGAACCACCAGTGCCCGGCTGTCCTATCATCTTTAGATGACACCATGTCCTTGACCTCCATATATGGTATATACATGTGCACGTGTGAGGGAAGAAAGGAGAAGGACACAGAATCAGAGGGAAACAGGAAAAAATACAGCAGAGGGGCCGATCACCTGCACTGGACATTGATAAAAGTGAACTAAGCAACTCAAGGGCAGCAATAGGCGGGAGGGAATGAGAGAAGGGGGAACAGCTTACACTAAGCAAAAGGAAAGAAATGTACATATCACCTGATTTGGAAAAAATAGCTGTAGTGTCAAAGTTTGTAAAGCCCATAAGCTTTATAGATCATGATCATGACAATGCGCCTCGTGAAGGTTAAAATGTGTGTGTGACTTTATGCATCACTATCCTACTGTGAAATATGTGAAATTTATGTAATCACTTAATCTCAATAAAAAAATTTAAAAAACACGAGTGGCAAAGTTTTAAACATAGTTGTTTCTGATCTCATTTTTGAGGGGTGGGGAGATGTTGGTTACTGACTTATCTACTTTTTGTTATTGTGAAAAATTGAAGCATGTAAGACGTTGGGATCAAATTAAATTGGACTTAGCTGAGCACCAGTGAAGCCTGCAATCTCTAGCTACTAAAGAGGCTGAAATCCGAGGATCACTGTGAATAAAGCCTAGGCAGGAAAGTGCATGAGATTGATATCTCCAATTAACCACCAGAAAACCAGAAATGGTGCTGTGGCTCCAAGTGATAGAGTGCTACTCTTGGGCATAAAAGAGCTCACTGACAGCACCCAGGCCCTGAGTTCAAATCACACAATAAAATAAATAAAAAGATCAAATAAAATGAGGTTTGAAAGCAAAAGACTCAGTGCATTTCCTAGAGGAATATCACAAATGTAACCCCGAGATTCTTTTTTTTTGGGGGGTCCGGTCGTGGGGCCTGAACTCTGGGCCTGGGCACTGTCCCTCAGCTCTTCAGCTCAAGGCTAGCGCTCTACCACTTGAGCCACAGCGCCACTTCCGGCTTTTCTTTTTGCTTATGTGGTGCTGAGGAATCGAACCCAGGGCCTCAGGCATGCAAGGCAAGCTCTCTACCACTGAGCCACCTTCCCAGCCCAACCCCAAGATTCTAAATAGAGTAAAATGTAAGAATGACAACTGAAGGTTCAAAGTCAAATCAAAACATTACTAAGAAGTAGCATGACTTTTCCCAATTACAAAATCTAAGAGAACTGTCCTCTAATTCTTCCCAAATTTTGCTTGGCTTGTTTGCTTTTCTGGCTGACACTCTACCAAGTGAGTGATGTTCTAGAGTGATGTTCTAGCCAGGCTTTTTGCTGGCTGCTTTGAAGATGGGAATCTAGCAATTTTTTTTTTTGCTTGAAGTGACCTTAAACCTTGATTCTCCAATTATCAGTTTTCTGGGTAGTTAATATTACAAGTATGAGCCACTGGCACCCAGCAAGTTGGTTTTTCTGTTTGTTTGTTCACTGGTTGGTTCATTTATTCATTAAATAAAGCATAAACTGGTAGCATTCTGAACCCAAGAGCTAAACAACACTTTGTTATTTTCAGTCTGTCTAAAGAAACAGTTTATTTTAGTGGTAGGAAAGAATTACAACATATTAAAAGTACTCTAGCAGTTGAAGTACCTATGAATTACATAAAATCCATCTCAAATCTGCATTTCAATTCTATACCTGTTTCAGAGTTAGAATCATTCTCTGACACAAAACTTATAAACTTTAAAAGAACCTAAGAAGGGTAAACAAAGGAGGAGGCTGCAATGCTTGATAAGAAATGTACTCATTATCTTACCCATGTAATTGTAACCCATCTGTACAGTATGTTCACAAAAAATAAAAATTAAAATAAAAATAAAAGAACCTAAGTACTCAATTTATTTGCTCAAATTTGGGTAGGTGGAGTCTTTAGGCATTTATTTTTTTGTTGGTCGTGGGGCTTGAACTCTGGGCTTGGGCGCTGTCCCTGTGCTCTTCAGCTCAAGGCAAGGGCTCTACCGCTTGAGCCCTAGGGCCACTTCCAGTTTTCGAGTGGTTTATTGGCGGTAAGAGTCTCTCGGACTTTCCTGCAGGGCTGGCTTTGAACTTCGATCCTCAGATATCAGCCTTCAGAGTAGTTAGGATTATAGGCGTGAGCCACCAGCGCCCGGAGGGTAGGAGTCTTTAAATCTGAATTCTGCTTGCTTAAAAACTGTTACAGAGCTCGATGCCAGTACCTCATACCTATACTCCTAAGTTACTCAGGAGGCTGAGATCTGAAGACTGAGGTTCAAAGTTAGCTCTGATAGGAAAGTCAATGAAAATATTTATCTCTAATAAATCCCTAAAACACTCAAAGTAGAGTTGTAGTTCAAGAGGTAGAATGGGGCTGGGAAGGTGGCTCAGAGGTATTATGCTTGCCTCGAATGCAGGAGGCCCTGGGTTCGATTCCTCAGCACCACATAAGCAGACAAGACCAGAAGTGGTGTTGTGGCTCAAGTGGCAGAGCACTATCCTTGATCTGAAGAGCTGAGGGACAGTGCCCAGGCCAAATCCAAAAAAAAAAAAAAAAAAGCAACTCAGAAAAGGCTGGAAGTGGTGCTGTGGTTCAAGTGATAAAGCACTAGCCTTGAGCACAAAGAAGCTCAGGGACAGATCTAGGCCAAGTTCAAGCCCCAGGACCAGCATAAATTGATGGACGGAGAGACAGATGAAATTATGTCACATAGACTGAATCAAGGAGGAAAATTCAGGGGCTGGGAATGTGGCTTAGTGGTAGAGCACTTGCCTAGGAGGCATGAAGCCCTAAGTTCAATTTCTCAGCACTTTATAAGCAGAAAAAGGCAGAAGTGGTGCTGTGGCTCAAGTGGTAGAGCACTAGCCTTGAGCTGAAGAGCTGAGGGAGAGTGCTCAGGTCCACAGTTCAGGCCCCACGACTGACAATAATAAATAAATAAGTAAGTGGTAGAGGGGCTGGGAAGGTGGCTCAGTGGTAGAGCACTTGCCTTGCATACATAAGGCCCTAGGTTCGATTCCTCAGCACCATATAAGCAGGAAAAAAAAAGCCGGAAGTGCCATTGTGGCTCAAGTGGTAGAGCGCTAGCCTTGAGCTGAAGAGCTGAGGGACAGCGCCCAGGCCCAGAGTTCAGGCCCACGACCGGACCCAAAAAAAAAAAAAAAAAACTGTGGACAGTGTCAAGTGAATGTGATGTTCTTACCAAGAGGACTGAACTTCCTTCCTGATTGGCCCAAAATTAACCTATTTTTAGTACTGAAAACT